GCATGCGTGATTACAGCTCTCAAAGACCAGGAGAAGCCATCACCAAAGATTTCATTTATGGCTTCATCGCTAACAACTTCAATCTTCTTTATGTTCCAGATAAAACACCCGACCTACCAAGAAAAGAAAGCCTTTCGTAATGGCATGTGTCCAATAAATGTCAAAAAGACTGACGGCATCAAACAGGTCATGAAGTGTATCGATCAGGGTTACGAAGATTATTCAACTGTTCTAAGCTTCACGGGAGATAAGCAGCTAATTCCGATGTATAACCTACGACGTTCTCGAATAATAGTGAATGTCTCTACCCCCTCATTTATGTTTACAAAATGTGCGGAAATAGCACATATCAAAAACAAAAATTATGTAGGCTCTGGGAGGACGTTTCACGTCATCAAATTAGTACTTCGGCACCTACCTGGACAGACTGAAGAAAACCACGAAAAATCTCGCGAAAGCCGCCTTCGGGTGAAGACGTAAACTAGCGACCTTCAGAATGCGAAAAAAAGAGAGATAAAAAACATTTTGGTTCGAGGCTACGTACGATAGACTACCTGGGCATCGATGTAAGGATAATATTAAAATGGATCATAAAGTGACAGGATAATTCATGTGAATCAGGGCAAAATCCATTGACGAGATGTTATGAATAAGGAAAGGAACATCCGGGTTCTTTAAAAGGCAGAATTTCTTAACTATCTGAACCACTATTAGGTTATAAAGAATGAGTCTGCTCTATGGCTGGTAAGTTAGACCTACTGACGGAATATTGTAATTAGCGTATTTTAATAAGGAGTTCTGCAGTAAGGAACAGAAGATACTGTCTAGCCAGTACGTCCAGAACGGCTTTTCCGAACATTTTGCTGATTTACGAAGCAGTAATTCAGCAGTGTTTTATTCCCGAAAGCCTGTTCTCTGTGTCTCACATCGCAAATGAGAAGTACAAAACTTCAATGGTGGAAAATTATTTAACAACAGTCTGCCAGTATTATTTACAGTACCACATGTAAGCATGTCAAGTTACGATATAAAATTTCAGCACTTGGTATAACAACGACTCCAATTAGATGCATGAAATCTGCAGATTATGAACATACGTAACTCTAAGACTATAAGAAACATTTAATCACTTTTGTATGTTATAAACAAATTAGCAACAATAAAACTTTTCGGAATTGTGCCAAACAATTAATAGGTTATGGAAACCTGCACCAGCGGAAACTATAAACAGAAATAAGGTTCTGTAATTTTTGATGTGTCATCTTTGTTGAACAAACGAAAGCATGCGTTGGAAAGTAAATTTAGGTATTAGCTCCGTACAGAAATGTGATCAATGCGTTAGCAGTTTAGTCCAATTCAAAATCTATTAATAAGTCAACACATTTGAAGGCAGCCATGAAGCAGTAGGGCTCCAACTTTGATTATCGTTTCAAGAGACATCTTATAAATCTCCCTCAAACCGGAGAGTTTTCATTTCTGCTACATAATCTTGGAAGAGGGAAAAAACATTACGTTTAGAATGCAGCAGACTATTTGGACGTACTCCCATTTTCACAGGACGGCAACATGATGTATTGAACACAAAGTTCTCTTCCTTCCCATAATTCAATGCAGTGTGAGTAGGCTGTACAACTCCACTTCACCGGGGTGCACAGCAGAAACTTTCTACTTGTCTGCCATCCCTCCATTTGTTTGCGTCACACTTGCAAAGTAGCTGGCAAATACAGCCGAAAGGTGTGTCCCAGTTTGGAGGACAAAGCTGCCAAAACCGTTCTTTGACATTTTCCATCTCCGATTTCTATTCGTGTTCACTCAATTAAGATACGTAGAAGAAGTACGAAAAGTTCAAATTATTTATACCCGCGACGTGAATAAAGTTTTGTTAATAGTCCCTCTTCCCTAATTTTTTTAAATAACTGGATTAAATCAGATTGTAGTTTAATATATACAGGTGATTCTAGTACAGCAATGGCAACGAAATGAGATTCACTTCTCAAATTTTAGTGCAGAAACTTTTATTTTACTTTTTAGATGATCGAACGCTTCAAAATTAAGAATTACGAGTTTTCAGGTTTATGGTGTACCTAGTGATTTGAATTCAGGGCTGGAAACACACGGATTTTATTTTACGAAGTAATACAAGATATATATAAACAATATTTATAACTTTCCTCGTGAATAAAATCTTTTCGAAAAGACACAGACACATTGTTTGAGCATCATCTGCGACAGAAAATCTCAAAGTTTTTTCTTCTTCTGAACATTAAACGTATTTAACAAGGGCGATGGTGTGCCGTCTTCCTGGAAGAACTCTGCAGGTTGCAGTACTTGTAACTGTGGATAGACGATGCTTTCCAGCAAATAAAGGTAATTTCGGCTCGGCAACACCACAATTTAACTTTGGCGCTGTCTCTAATGTGATCTGCTGTAGCATGAAGGTATTCTGGTCCCCAGACGTGCACGTTCTGTTTATTTACCTTCCCTTGAATGTAGCCTCGTCAAAGAACATGATTTTCCTCGGGAATTCGTTGTCTTCGTCCAGTTTCTGAAGCATGGTGACTGGAAATTTCTTACGGGCTGCCCTATCATCTTGCGACTTGTAATCATGCAGACACAAACGTCTTTGTAACAACCGATACACTGTCGAACGCGCCAATTACAATTCGTGATGACAACAGTGGAATATGGACAAATATGCCGCGATTCTTTCGACAGTTTCGTCAGACACATTTGGACGCCGTGAACCTTTCATGTGAAAGACACTTCCGGTCTCTGAAAATTGTCTGGACCATGCACTTATCGATGGTTTTGATGGTGCCGTTTCTTGAAACGTCATTCTGTAACGTCTTTGGACGTGTGGAATTTATATTTGCTGAACTGTAACTACGGCACGTCCATGGAAACAGCATGACCCCTTCAAGCGTCCATATTATTATGAATGGACCAAATGCCAAATTAACTATTTGTAAACCGTTTCCGATGCGTCTGATTACCACAACATTGCCAAGTCACAGAGAAAAGTCTCAGGTATTTAAAACTGAGCAATAATTTTCTTCGTTATTGTCGATAATATTCACCAGGTTCAACGACAGTAGCATTATCCCACGTAAATGTTCTCCTGAGTTTCAGAAAATCTGCGTTTTTCTCGCATTGGTCAATTTTCGAATCATGTGATGGGCCAAATGAAAAGTTGCAAGGGTCACATGCGACCCGAGGACCACTGGTGCACTGCATTTGGAATTCATGGCTCCTGGCGGTACCATTATTCGTGACGGTAAGTTGGAAAGCTACAAAAGACTGAAGACACGAAGGATTTTTCATGGAGTTCGTCCTGACATGTGGCACGTTTTCCTCTAACACGGCACTGCGAACCCTCACACGAGCGCACGGACGCCTTGGTTTCACCTTCTTAGACCACCCACCATACAGTTAATGAAGCTGACTTCATTCTCGTTCCGAAACTAAAGGAACATCTGAGGGGACACCACTTCTTTTCGGATGATGAAATGAAGACACCATTTTCGAGACGGTTCCATCAGCAACACGCAAGGTATAACATGACGCACTCGTGAATTGCTTGAACGCCGGCAGACGTTCGAGGACCACAGAAGTAATTTTGTGGCGAGATATCTGTGTTACATTATAAAATAAAATCCAAGAAAACTCCAAAGTTTCAATGAAGTATGTGATCTCGTTACTTAAGAACAAAATAGGACGCATTACTTTACAACACGTTTAATTAATATGTTGGCCATTCCCCCCGAGCTTTTCCAACGATTTGCATTTTCTAATTGCTTCGCTAATTAGATTTAGGTAAGTTCTAGAACTTACAGTTCACGTGGAATTGTCCTATGTTCAAATTGTTGACGTCCCCCTTACAAAATTTAATTTAAACTTGGCAAATTGTTCAGGATGAAGCACGCATCCCTCTTATAAGTTCTCTGGACGCACTAAGTACACAGAACGTATGAAAATAACACTGTCGAAAGAAAATAAAGTCACAAAAGAATTGTGGGGTTAGTTCGAACTGATCGTTCTGACAACTGAGTTAGGGTGTGTTGTTATTCTGTTCGTGATACTTCTCGCTGGGTCTTTCTAGGGTTCATACTTACCATTGTCCAAACAAACTCTCGTGATTCTTCATTAAATATAATGACCAGAGAAATGAAACATAAAATGGAATTTCAGGTTATATCTAGTATTTTTGACAGTTACTTACATATTTTCTTATAAATTAAACTGAAATTTTATTATAAGACAGTAAGGGAAGTTGTGAACCAAGAAATAAAAGACAAAATTTACGTCCCGCAGACAACAGGAAAATAACATTAAATTACTCCAATTATAAACACTAACTAGATTCTACATTCTATTATTTGTGTTGGTCAAGAGTTGAACTAAATCCCAGCCAGAAGCTCTCTATTACTTATTGTATCTGGCACAAGTTGAACTAAATCCGAATCTGACCTGCTGTGACGTCTTAGCTTGCAGCTACCTCTAGTTTTTAGCCAGAGTCTGATTGATAAGAATCCTAGGATGATTTAATGTAATGTCATTGCTAGCTTCATCGTAACCCAACTCTTTACGCACCGAATCCTTGGGTACTTCCACGATTCATAGATCCCGGGCTCCTGCTTGTGTATGACGTAGCAAGCCCCAGCTCGGCCGGAGGAACGTAGCGTTTCTGTCAGCTCTTCATTTGAACTCCAAACATCGGAGGGTGCAGTTGAAAGCTTCTTGCAGCCAGATTACATGCCAGTGTAACACCGGCGTGAAATGTCAGATGATTTACTCGTAAACCAGAACTAACAAAGAGCCTCGCAAACACGTAAATGTTCGCCAACGCTGTTTCCAGACACACAATGCTGAGCGCTGATAAGAAGGATCATTAAATCGCGACGACAGTGTAAGTTGACTACTGTGACGACAGTAGGAATCGTCTCTTACTTACACACAGCCTCGGATGGAACTTGATCCGACCCTTAATTGCTGTCTCTTACTTGTAGAGTGTGTTGTCGCCTGGCAGGATGGTCGCCTCGATGCCGTCTGCCCGTAACTGCCTCTTGGCAAAATCCAAGTCGTGGGAGAAGTAGCCGGCCCGGCACGTGCATGTGTAGCCCCGACGAACACCGAGACCCTTAGCAGGCACACACTGCGAACAAAGAAGTCACTCACAGACCATCTCTGTTATCGGCACAATGGTGGACATTTGAACTGGCAATACTGATTTTCTAGATTTCGTAACAGCGGGTCAGATGAACAGTCATTAATTCGACAGTTGTCGTCCGGGACGTGATGCCGTGAACACCAATGTTTCGGAGGAACGTATCGCCTTCATCTTCAAAAGAGGTGAAAGCACATTTCTCTGAAACGTTACTAACCACTTAAAGTGCCACGTGGCGTCACAACTCAGAAGAACACAACCAGTGTTTTTTACCACACAGAAAACTTCAAAGCACATAACAACCAACTCCATAAGGAAGAAATTGTACCATGGAAGGTTCACGAGTTACGTTAAGACGTTTATGTACGCTGCATTGAAAAGGGTCGGAAGGGAACATAGAGACATACTTTAAGCCAATGTTTCGAATTTGCTTGGGGAGTTTAAGGAAAACCTTGAAATATCCCAATCAGAGTTTTCGGAAAGATTACTTGACTCCCCTTCTGAAATAAGATATTAGAAGATCAAATGTCCGTTACTCTTCGAAATTTTGTGTTTCTGTAAAAAGCTTTTTTTTAAACGACTGTTGAATTTTAGACCTTGAGTCTACTTGGGGTTGCCTTAAGGGATCTGATGGACAGTTACGAATGGACATACATCACAAAGATAACCTCCCGGTATGTCAAATATATTTGTGTTACAATACCTGAGTTAAATGACTGTAGGAGTGGGAACTTCATCCGAATTTTCAGAGGTCTGTGCATTCCTTCAAACTTTCACTTTATTCGAGATTATACTCACTGACTACAGACCCCGAAGACCGACAGGGTCTTCTTGTAGCCTCTGCCACTGGACCGGTTCTGGGTCCACCCTTCCTCCTATTTGATCCGAACCGGAGTCTCCTACCAGGCTCTACGAAGTGCGACAATTATGTTCGCGGAATGCCCGCATATGTCGCATCGAGTGGCGAGTGGGCGAATAATAACTAACAAACAGCGACGTGTTACGACGTGTCTGTGGCCCAATCTTGTTTGGGCGAAGCACAGAAGCCAGCAGTAGCAAAGCAGTGGCAGAGTTACACAAACGCGCGTTTTCGTCCCGGCGGAAGAATGAATCCTAGATTGCTAGAGCAAAGCACTGACATCAAATGTTGTGCAAAGTTGGGCAAAACCGCGAGTGAAACTCTGCTGAAGTTAACAGAGGACTATTTCGCTGACGCTGCGAAAAGTCAAGTGCATTTGAGTGAGGAGAAAAAGAGCACTCATGCCGCTAGCCCAAGTGAAGACAATCCTCTTTTTTTTCCTAGATCACAAGGGCATTGTTCACTATGAGTTTACTGAACAAGGTTGAACAGTGAACCAGCATTGTTATCTGGAAATTTAGAATTCGCTC